TATATATATATATATATATAGTTTCTGTGGAGGACATCTGTCCATTTTTCCAACAACAATATGACACTAAAATCTTCTTCGTTGACAYTGAATTTAATTCAGATTTACAGTTTCTGTCGGATCCTGATCTGAGTCGGACCATCAGAGGAGCAGAATCATCCAGGACTTAAGCAGCTGCTGGATCCAGGCCACGTTAAATCAGGACAGACTCCTAAACAGGGACAGACTGAACCAGGACAAACTGGGCCAAACTGGGCCACAGAGCAGCTGCGGTCTCAGTACTCTGCACTGAAACCAGAACCACGATCCTGGAAACACCTCCTCCATCCATCAGACACGACCTGAACGTGGACTCATTGATGCTCCTTGAAGACTTTCGAGAACCTCTAAGGAGTCCTTGGACGAAAATAACCCTTTAGACGTCAGATCCACAGCAGGAGACACCTCTGAACCCCACCCTGAGTCCTGGAACCTCCCCTGGAGGCCCCTTGACATTTCTCAACGACCCTGGATCCTCATTAAAAGAACTTCCCAAAACCCTCTAAAGCCTCTGCGGTCAAAACAAATTTAAATATATTATTAGAAACTGAGTTATGAAGTTCTGCGGTTCCCCCGCTGAACCCACGAACCCCTCCTTTCCCCCCAGGATCACACCCACAGTGGGTGGGTCCTGCTTTAATTACACTCAAAAATTCTTCTGCCTGGAAGGTCTGTGAGAACCTCTGAGRACTTACACCTTCCTGGACCACTTTGACAAATAAGGCTCTAAACACAGACAGGGTCTTTCCAGAACCACAGAGCCTCAAACTGACCCCCTTCTTTGGGTAACAGAGGGAGACCCCGAAGGGGTCTTGGTAAATCATGTGTGTAGAGGGTTCTGTTAAGACACCTGGTTCTGGTTCTTACCCCACTCCAGGAAGTCGGTGATGTGCTTCTCCCTCTTTAACGGGGAGTTGGTGCACTCGGTGTAGAAGCAGAGCAGCAGGTCCAGCAGCGCCTCCACGCTCAGACATCCAGCCTCCTTCTGCTCCAGCAGCAGCTCCTCCAGCCGCTTCAGACGCTCCTGAGCAGACATCGTGACCCGGCGGAGGATGGCCCGTAGTCCCGTGGAAACTCTCACCACCAGCCCGCCCCTGCCCGAGTGTGCGCCGCCGCCGCCGCCGCCGAGGCTCCGCTTCCTGCTGCCGAGTCCGCTACGAGCAGCTAAGCTAGCGCGTTAGCTCCGCGAAAACATTCCCGACATTTTGAGCCGCCGGGATGTCCGGTGAGTGTGACCGTCTCCGCTGGTTACCGTCGCTCGGAACAGCCTGTAGGCCCGTGTCTGTCCACCCTCCGCATCGGCTTTAATCCGCTAAATCTGGACTTTCCTCTCGGAAATCGGGACGTCGGGAGGAGCGTCGACTCGCTCAGGCTGACGGTCGCTGCTTCATGTTGGCAGCTCGGTTTATCAGGCCGGGAAAAGCTCCGAGGTGATCAGAAACCGGCTCGGTTAGACTCGAAACGTCGACCGGAACCGGGAGGCAGCGCTCCGGTGAACTACAGGCGGGTTTTTTTGGAGTATTTGAAGCGCCTGCCGGTGTGGCTGAGCACTGGGAATATGGCTGAATCCAGGTCGGATCATCCAGAAGAAGCTGAACATAGAAAATACAGCTTCCGGTGAAGCACCTTCACAATAAAAGACCAGCCAAGCACATTCTCGTAATGAAACAGCAAATAAACACAAAATAAATGGACTAAGATCCACAAACACACAGAAACTGTTTCATAATAAAATAAAACAATGAAAAATTCAAAACACGAGATGAAAAAACACCATCTCAAGAAACACTAAAAAACTTTCAGACAGAAAAATGTTTAAAATATGAACTAAAACTTTTCTGCAAGGATATGCTCGAGTTATTTTTTAATTAAAGATACATATGAAGTGTTTAATTTCATTTTGTCGACGTACACCGTAGAATAATATGTCACAGAAACAGTGTTGAACTGTACTTGATGTACAATTTAATTTTAGAGTTCTTAATTAAATATTTAGAAAACAAAGGTTGACATGAAATTCTTTATCAGTACAAGAGTTTAAAAGGAAAAATAATTTTAGTAGGCTTTTAGTTTGAAGGGATGAGCTGTGTAACCGGAAGTGAGGTTTGTTGTTTATCGGTATTTGACTCACTTGTGGTGTCTCTCCCGTAGGAACACGCATGCCCCGCCCTCCTGCACCGGAAATGCTCCAGATACATGACGTCATTATCTGATTGACAGGAGCTGGGAGTGACTTCAATGTGACATTATCTCAAGTAATTAGTTAACAAAGAAAGTTGTTCTTCCTTTTTTTAAAGCTTCCAATAAAACACTAAATCATGGTATCACAAAGTACTGGTCAGATCTGAATAAATCAGTATATTTTATATTTTATGTATAAATACTATTTAGTGTGTGTGCACTTTGTTGTATTTGTTGAATAATACAAATTAATTGGACTGCCTCAAATTTACTTGTGATGTTGCTAAATAGTTTTGTCTACAATTATTTTTACTATTTAAAAACTGTTTTTCAGAATTTTTATTTCATTTAGTACTTTTTTAATTTCTACTTTAATTTATTTTTTCCTGTTGACTGGATAAATGCATTTTATTTCATTTCCATGGCTTTAACAAAACAAATAAAGTATGTATATTTTAAACCAATATTAGATGTTTTTAACCATGATCCTGTTTTTTTTCTTTTATGAACGTGTTTTTCATCTTTTTTATTTATTTAATTA